TAGATTATGCAACCTTTGTGATAAAAATGAAGTAGAAGATGAGTATCATCTCATGATGTCATGTAAAAGATATACCCCCGAAAGAAATGTCCTATTCGAAATAGCAAAAACCAAAATCCAAAACTTGCCGCTAAAGACTCAATTCATAGCCTTGCTAAACAACAGTGGCCTAACACTCCCCGTAGCAAGGTACCTAAAGAAGTGTTTTGAAATAAGACAGCAACCCCAGTGACAACCTTCTCTCACTATTTGAGTTTTGCATTTTGTTTTCTATCTATCGTAGTATCATAATTTTATACTAGCTATTATCTGTAATGTATTAGCTTAGATTGTTTTTTTTGTTTTTTTTATTATCTATTTTCTGTTTTGTAACCTTTTATTCCTTTTTAAACTTTTGTAACCATTGCCAATCCCTCCGGGGAATGTGTAAGTGTTAATAAAATTACATTACAGTAGTGGAATACACTGAATACATGTATGTTACTACCCTTACAAAAGTTTCCTATAGGATTTTCAAAATCTTATAGGATTTTAAAAAATCCTATAGGACTTTTCATGAAATCCTATAGGACATGTATAGTCCTATAGGATTTTATGTAAATTCCTATAGGAATTAACAAGTCCTATAGGACTTTACACTGCCAGTCCTATAGGACTGGTGCATGAGATCATAAGTCGTATAGGACTATACAATTCCTATAGGACTTTACACTGCCAGTCCTATAGGACAGGCGTGTGAGATCATAAGTCCTATAGGACAATACAATTCCTATAGGACTTTACACTGCCAGTCCTATTGGACTGGTGTGTGAGATCATGAGTCTTATAGAACTATACAATTCCTATAGGACCTTAAACTGCCAGTCCTATAGGACTGGATATTTCTACATGTAGAGTAAGTTACCTAGATTCATATCACTCCCCTACAAAAATATTACATACTTTTTCAAATTGAACTTTAGTCAATCTCATTACAATCAGTTCTATTGTACGGCATGTTTTTTATTGTATTTATATTTGTTTTCATCCATCTTGCATCTTCGAAAAACTCCCAGTAAATGAATAATATATTAAGATAAAATTTTACTTTAAAAAAAATTATTAAAAAAATCAGATTGATATACGTTATTTCTATAGACTTTTAAAAGTCAGCACATTGTGAAAAAATATAAATACTGATGAAAAATCATTTGTAAAAAATTTAAAATATCCATG